AGCCCTTGGCCCCCCAGCTTAAGTGCCATCTTGCTCCCTCTGACTCTCCTGCCATTGCCATTTGCGACACCCCTAGGGGGTGGCCCTGCCTCAGAGCCCACTCAAGTCTGTTTTCAGCACCTCTGTAAACTGAGCTAAATAAACCCTTCTTCCACAGAAGCTCATGACAGGTGCTCTGTGAGGGGAACAGAAGACCAACGGACCCATCGGGCCTGTGGCCTCCTGTCCCCTGCCCTGGTCTCTCCTGTGCCAGCCCCAAGCAGCCCTCAGGACAGACTTGTACCTTCCTCCCATCTTGCTCTTGAGGTGGAGAGGTCCATCACCCCCTGTCCTCAAACTGTTCAGTGAACACCTACCGAGCTCCTCCCCAGCCCCTGGCCTCAGGAGGGTTCTGACTTGTGCCTGCAGATCCAGGACCCCATCCTGCCGTAACTGTCAGATCCACAGACCATCTCTGCTTGTCTGATGGGGTCCGATGGGGTTGATGCCCTGAGGAGGATTTGATCTGGAGATAACCAGGGCCCTGGACAAATAGGGCTGTTTGTCACATAGCCAGAAGAGCTCTATGGAGCTTGGTTGCAAGGGAGAGGAAAAGAGAGCCAGGGGACTGGGGAGACTGGCTCCTGTGACACTGTCCTGCGCCTGGATCCACTCACACCTGCAGCATGAGCCACCCCGGAACAGTTCCCACTTGGCTCAGTTAGAAGCTGGTGATCCATCACTGACTGCCCTCATGCTCGGTGACAGAGGCAGGATGACAGGGCTGCAGGAGGCAGGGAGCAGAGGGACGGTGCCACTCAGCCTCAGCGCAACCCCCTCCTCCCCCTCTTCTCCTTCCATCTCCTCCCACAATGACCCAGGAGCACTGACATCATCGCAGTGCAAGTTCCAGAGGGAAACAGGAACTTCTGTCCCTCAGGCCAAGAGATCCCATCTGTTAGAGCCAGCGCACTGGTGGTGGTGACCAGGGAGGCAGGAGGAGCCCAGGCGGGTTCTGACTGATTCAGGAAGAAACCACATGCGTGTGTGTGCGTGCGTGTGTGTGTGTGTGTGTGTGTGTGTGTGTGTGTGCCTTGGGTTGGACTGGGGTAGTTCCTGAATCCTTATTTATTCTGTACACGGACTGCTGCATCCAGGTCAGCAGCCACAAGCCTGGGGACCAGTGTGTCCCATTCAGGACATAAATCAGGGTCCCCATTACTCTAGCTGCCGCCTCGGTCACCCCGGCTTGTGCCCTAAAAAGTGACTCTTCCCATCTTCAGCCAGGTGTGGTGGTGCACACCTGTAATCCCTACACTTGGGAGGCTGAGGCAGAAGCAGCACTGTGACTTTGAGGCCATACATAGATTTTTTTCATGGTGTTGGGGATGGAATTCAGGATCTCAAGACTGCTAGACCTTACCACTGAGCCCCAATATTTTTACAGCTTATTCCATAGAAATCTCCATACCTGCAAGGACACACAGTTCCTGCCACCCAGCAGAAATATGGGGATCCCAGAGATCAAAATGGAGCTGCCCGCCAGGGCCATGGGGAACGAGGACCGAGGCAGCCTGAGCAGGGGTGTGCAAGAGGACCATCACAGGGCGACACCAGCCTCAGGGAGAGAGGGCTGCAACCCCTTCCTCCTGCAAGGGCGGGGTGCAGTGAAAATGCGGGTCTCGCAGTGAGCTGGGCCTCGTCAGTGACCACGCGGGCACATCATCACCAGAAGCATATGACAAGGCCCTGAGCCCATGCTGGGGTCAGGAAAGATCTCCTGAGCTACACCAATGACCCCCGGCCTCGTCCTAGTCCTCCTGTGCCTCTCTACACCACACAGAACGGAAGACTTTGAAAGCAGCATTTCCCTGGTGCCTCTGCAAACCTAGAGTTGGGCCCAGCCAATCAAGTGCCCCACTGTAGGTGTGGAGAAGGAAGCAGCTCCTCGTGTCCTGCAAGGTTGTGGAGAGGTCGAGGCTCCGCTTCTTGGTGTCCACTGCAGCTGCCCCAACTGAAGTGGCTTCAGGCCGGGATCTGCAGTAGGCAGTGGCCTGCAAGGGTGGGTGTGGCCACGAGGACCCTGGCATCTCCGTTAGCAGTTTAGACCCTTCCCTTTTTAAAGGTGATTTGTCCCAGTATTTTTGCAGCACTGGGGAGCCGATACACACAGGGGACCTGAAAACATCCTGGATGCCATGGACTCCAGCCTGGGGAAGCGAATGAGGCCACAGCTCTGAGTGTGCAGAGTGTGGGCAGTGCAGACCAGGGAAGGACAGTGACACCTAGCCTTGGCAGCTCATGATCCAGCAAGGGAGGCAGCGAGGACAGGTAAAATAGCTTCAGAATGACAGCTACAGAAAGGGGCCTGGTAGGAAGAGCCAGGAGGTCAGGGAAGGCTTCCTGGAGGAGGCAACTGCGGGGCTTGGAAGTGAGAGAGGAGGAGGCCGGACAGAGAGGTAGAGCGCATGGCGGGGCAGGGGGTGGCAAGTGTCTCCTGGGGCAGGGCTGAGTGGCAGGGAGTGCAGAGCAAGCCAGGGGCCAAGGATGTGGCCTAGAAGTAGCCGGGAGGCAGGGACAGCACTCAGGAGCCAGAACCCTCTCATTAGGGCACCTGTTCACCCCACCCACCGGCCCTGCCATCAGCCTGGTGAAGAGGACCAGGAGGTGCCACTCAGAACCGGCTGCCAGGGGCTGCGTGCAGAGCGCAGAGGATGAAGTAGAGGACAATTGGTGGCCAAATACCTGACCCTGAGCTGGCTTAACTGAAATGATCACTACTGATGGGAATAGCTGACGAATCCAGACATGGATCAGGGTCACAGCCAAAGGGGCCTAATAGCCACCACTGTCACCCAACTCTGGCTTCTGTCTTGCTCCTTGGTTTACCTTCTCTGGTGGCTGACCTCTCCTCCTGGTGGCAAGATGGCTGCAGTGTTCCAGCTCTTACATTTGCCAGGCCTTGAAGCCATCAGGAAACAAAGGATGTCTCTGGTTCACCCTGAATCATACCCATCTCTGAGCCCGAAGCTGCGGGAAAGGGAGGGCAGGGCATTGACTAGTGGGCGGTTCTCAGAGGGAGTCAGGTTGAGTTGACAAAATAGGAAACAGATGCTGGCCCACGAAGGCCATCCAGCAAAGAAGCACTAAAGCTGCAGTAAAAATAATAAATAATAATTGACACCCCCGAGTGCCACCCTGTCTTACTATTTCCCATGCATCATCTCGGTTGCAATAGTTGTATATCAAGTACCTTCCAGAAGAGGGAGCCACTGTGCAAAGGCCCTGGGGCAGACAGGACTTGTCTACAGTTTCTGGGCCACAATAACTGAGAGGAGCTCAGCAGTGTGACCACGTGGCAGTGGGGGACAAAAGAAGGACCAGATTTGGGATGTGGGGTGAAGGCAGAGAGGGTGCAAGACTGGGGGAAACTAGGGTACCAGAACCCTGGGCACTCATGCACCTGGGGCCAAGGTCCTACAGCCCATACCAGGCCTGAGGCAGGCAGCCTGTGCTTGCAGGAAGGAAACCCTCACTCCTGCCGGGGCCAGCACCCTTTCCAGGACAGGAAGGGGAGAGACGATGCAGCATGGAAGCAGCTGTGGAATGCAGGGCAGTCAGAGGCCACGCATAGCCCTGAGCCATGGGCAGGACCTGTAGGGCAGCAGGCTCGGTGCCCAGCACCACAACACAGGCCTGGCCAGGCCGGAATTCCTGCAGGACGCTTTGTTCTCCCACAGCAGCCTCTATAGCCATGGGACCCCCAGGCGGCAACCAGGATGAGCCTCAGTGCTGGGCACTGCCCCGAGCCTCCTCCTGGGTACCCACACCCACGGCGCCACAGCCCCACCCGGCCCGCCACTCTGGAACCACCAGGAACCTGAGCCCAGTCCAGCTGCACAGGCCGCATCCACCCCAGCCAGCCAGTCTCACCAAGGCCGGCGCTTCCTGTGGCTGCGCCCACTTCCGTGACAGTGGCTGCCTCTCGTGGGCCTGGCTGTCCCTGCTCCCTGCCACACAGTATCCCTTGTGGCAGCCTCTGGGGTGCTACGCTGGGCCTGACTCATGTTCAACCGGCTGCACAGCGTCGGGAGGCTGCAGCCCCTCTGCTGCAGAACCAGCCACGGGAGGAGACTCTGGTTGCCCAGAGAAATCTGGAGGATGGCACAGGAAGCTGGCACCAAGTCTGGGGCCTCTTGGGTTTATTTATTAGGACAGTCAAGACAGCCACCCTGGGCAGAGGTGTGGGGACGGGGAGGTGAGACACCCACACTCAGGGTGCAGAGGGCTCGGCACAGTAGACAGCTTGTGGGCCAGGTGGTGCAGCCTGGCACCGCAGTACACTTCTGTGCCTGTGGTCACCAGGCTGTGCACTACAGCATGCGGACCCCACAGCCCAGTCACAGGGTCATGTGATTGAGGACAATGGCATCTCCCTTGGGAAGGATTTGAAGCAAAAGGAAGCACACAGTCATGCCTGTCTGTTGGCCAACTTGACGATAGACAGGGATACAGTTTTTTGTGTTCAGTCACAGAAAAACAAACTAGTGATTTAAGTCAACTAGGATTTTAGCTTTTAGGGGTTTTTGCCCCTATACAATGAGAAATCAGAAGTGTTGTTCAATGGCTAAAAATTTCTTGGCTGAAATCAGTGATGTTCTTTGTTCATAGTCACAATATGACTGCTGTAGCTCCTGCCATCAGCTCATGCCATTCTTCTTGCATGGAGAAGAAGGAAAGAGGAAGGACTGGACCAGCTGTCCATCTCACTTTGTCAAGAAGGAAAATGTTTTCTTAAATCTACTCCCATGCTAATCATGGCTCATGACTGAGTCACAGCCCACCTCCAGTTAGAGTGGTCTAGAGAAGCCCTTGGCTTTCCTGCCTCTGCTAGATGAAGGCACTAAAGAGCCGCAGGGGGGCCTGACGTTGTCCCTGTGCCCTGACTCTAACCAGCCACCGTGTCTCCACCCCCAAAGTGGACCTGCTATCTCCCACACCATCTATATTTTGAGACAAGGTCTCACTAAGTTTCCCAGGCTGACCTCAAAACTTTCGACCCTCTGAGTTGCCTCCTGAGTAGCTGGGATTATAACCGTAACTGTGACACAGAGGCTCCCTCACTTTAATCTTTTGCTTCCTTCCCTGAAGAGTTCTCAGACCTCAGGCACCTTGTCCCGCCTTCACCTGTCTTCCACTTACGCACTCTCCATCCCTTCTGAAACCAAAGATTGAAGAACACTGCGCCCACCATTTCTCCATCTCTGCCCAGGCCCTTAGGCTCCCCTTCCAGGCCACGCCCCAGACAATTAGGCCACGCCCCTGACAATGAGGCCACGCCCCTGGCAATGAGGCCACGCCCCTGACCTAAGCACCTCCCCAAGGCCCCACTTCCTAAAGGTTCACAGCACTACTCAGACCACCTTGGAACCTTCATACTGCATACTTCATTCCTTGGGGGACACGTGTCCAAACCACAGCAGGAGAGGAGTCAGGGCTGCAGATTGTTCATTTAGGGGTCACCGGCTGTCATTGGGCTCATGAGGTGAGACCAAGGGAGGCGGCCAAGGGACTGACTGTGCAAGAGAAGGCCTACGAAACCGGAGAAGAGCGAGCTGTCACCGGACTAAGCACAGCTCAGACAGGAGGCACAGGCCACAGCAGTCCCCGGGGCCTGGTGTTGGCAGCTGCTCTTGGGTTAAAGAGACGCAGGCTCCAGTGGGTGGGGCCCACCTCATCCTAGTCCTGTGTCCTCCTCCTCATCCTCGTCACAGCTACTACTTGGGGTTCCCCAGCAGGGATTCGGGAGCCAGGCACACAGTCAGCTCTTGCAAGGTTCAGCCAGTTGCTACTGAACACGGACAGGAAAGCAAGCTGAGAGAAAGACAAAACTTACTAGAGTGTGGGGTGTGGAGGTGCACCCCAGAATCCCCAGAACTCAGGAGGCTAAGACAGGAGGATCAAGAGGAGAGCAAGGCCAACAAAACTCATAAACCAGAGAGAGATGACAACCGGCACTCAGGGTCTCAGGCATGTGTGAGAGACATGATTCTCCCTCAGAGAGCCGCTGTAACTGCACACGAGTTTGGTATGGAGCCTTTTAAAGATCACTTGTTTAAAGTATAATTTTAGTCACCATCACACTGTTCTCTTTAGCATTTTGAGTGTTTTGCAAAGAAGTGCTTAATTTCTAAATGTGAAGATTTTTGTGTTTGTTCGTTTGTTTGTTCATCTGTCTGTCTGTGACAGGCTGTCACCAGGTGACAAGTTGTCACCTGGCTGTCACCAGGCTGACCTTGAAATCGCAGCGATCCTCCTGCCTCAGCCTGCTAAGTGCTGGCATTACAGGCATGCACCACCACACCTGGCTTTTTGTTTATCTTTTAGATTACTTGTAATTTAACTATCATGATGTGAGGTCTACATCCCTGGGCTAGGGAAATTTGGGACTCGAACTCAGAACTTTCTGGCTCCAGGGAAAGACCCTGCTGTTGCAGTTGTGCCTGGCTCTCCTGACGAGTCTGTTACTGGTTTGATTCTGCAGCCAGAAGTGCCTTCTGCGATGGACAGACAGCTGCTCCTGCACCCTGACACTGCTGGCACTCCTGCAGCAGGCGGCGCACTGCCAGCCCTTCCACAGTAAGCAGCCTCAGCACATGGGAATCCCTGCGCCTTGGGAGAGATTTACCACCTGCAAGCCTTCGGTCCCCGTCCTGGGGCCTGAGTCCCACACATTTGTCTTCCTGTGAAATAACAGTTTAATATCATAGCAACTGTTGTGGGGTTTTGGGGAGAGGGGTGCTCAATGCATTTATCCCAGTGTTTTGCACTTTTTTTTTTTGAAACAGAGCGTCAGGTTGGCCTGGACTCATTGTGTAGCCCAAGCTGGCCTCAGACTTGAAGTGATTCTCCTGCCTCAGCCTCCAGAGTGCTAGGGTTACAGGCATGTGCCACCACATCCAGCTTGGGCTTTTATGTCAATGTATTATCCTCATTTAGTCTTTGAAATTAACTATTGCTCTCTTCCCTGCCCTGCCCTGACAAAGACAGGAAATTCTCAATTTACAACTGATTGTGCTCCTAAAATTCTCCGGCGAGGCTGTTGTTTGGATGAGGGAACTGCTTTCCCACATAAACAAAGTTATAAATGGCTCGGCTCAGCGAGCCCTCCAGCCTGGCTGACCTATCTGCGCACTCAGCGACACACGCGTGTGACAGTGAAGACCTGGAATGCAGTTGGGCTTGGTAAGAGGCACTGACGACACAGAGCAAACAGGATTCCGGCCAGGGCCGGCTGTTGGTTCTTTTCTGTGCCGCCAGCTGGGGAGGCAGGGGTGGCTTCAGAGCTGGCTTTGGGCTTTTTGTTTGTTTGTTTGTTTATTGCTGTTGTTCATTTATTATTTATTTTGAGATGAGTCTCCCTAATGTGTTTCAGGCTGGCCTTGAATTGATGACCATCCTCCTGTCTCAGCCTCTCAAGAGCTGGGATTTACAGGCTTGTGCCACCACTCCTGGCTCTAAATCAGGCACAGTGATCCAAAATATTTCCAAAAGGCTGCAGTCTGGGGTGAGGTTGCACAAAGACTCAAGAGGACTCTGCCCGCAGGCTCTGCTATTTTCTTCTTGGGGTAGGAAGCCAGCTATTGGACTCTCTGAGGGTCCCCACTGGAAAGCAGAAATACCAAGGTCTTTCTGGGGTGGGGAGGATTTAAAGGGACTTTGTGTGTCAAGCATTGGGTGCAGCCTCTGGAACAAAATAGGTGCTCAGTAAACGGTGACTGGAATTGTTAAAAAATAGTACAAGTTCCACAAGGTCCCAGCCTGCAGAGAAAAGAAGAAAAAAGGCACTGTCACTTCGGCTCGCACCCCTCTCTTCTTTCTCCCTCCACTGCCCCCTTTCACTCTGCAGAGCTGCCTGCACTCAATCCAGACTATCACAGAGCTCTGTCCCAGGTCTCACCTGAGGTTCAAATCCTGCTGTGTGGTGCTGAGAAAATCGCACACCATCTCTGAACCTGAGGTCCTCATTCTAACCAGGAAAGGAAGGCTGACACCTTTCATTTATTCAGGGAGTATCTACTAGGGCTGGCTCTGGGTGGGAAGCTGGGCTGCTGTGGTCCTCACCCTCCAGCATCCCATGTATGTATATAACACCCTCCTCAAATCCAGAACACAAAGATGGTCCTTCTCTTGTGTGTCAACTGCAGAACCCTTTGTTCAAATGAAATCTTAAAAAAAAAAAAGAAGGCTGGTCCGATGGCAGTGGGTTATCAGAACTTATTAACATTAGTGTCACTAAAGTTGGTATACCACCTCCCACCACTGCTAAATTTGACTGGCTTTAAAAAAAAAAAAAAAAAGTGAGAGTTGGGCGTGGTAGCTCATGCCTCTAATCCCAGCACTCGGGAGGTCGAGGCAGGAGGATTGTTGTGAGTTCGCGACCAGCCTGGGCTACAAAGTGAGCTCAAGGCCAGCCTGAACTGCGTAGAGAGACCCTGTCTCAAAAAAAAAAAAAAAAAAAAAAAAAGAAGGCATAAAAGCCAGATCAAAGGGACAGCAGGCAGGGGCTCCCCGAGGAGCCCAGGGTCTATAAGTGACTGAGCCGGCTGAACCCCAGCACTTGGCTGAGAATCTCTCAGTCACCTCCTCCTCCCTCTCCATTTTAGACAAGAGTGGGGTGCAAGACACAGGACCCCTCTTGTGTCTGCCAAGGCACCCAGGGCTGGGAGTCTGGGGGTGCTGCAAAGTGGGACCTGCGCGTGCCCGGGCTGGTGCCGCAGGCCAGCGCCCCCCTGCCGCCGGCCGATTATCTGATGGGCTGCTTCCTTCATCGGCACTAATATCCCTGCAGCAAAACAATGGGAGGGTTTCCTATCGGTCCAAAGAGGACGTGAACAGCTCGCCGCTAAGAGCAGAGGATGCTCCAACAGGGCAATGGGAAGCGCCTGAGTCACCGAGGGCCTCTTTGATTCCCAGGGCCCCCTCGCTGAAGAGGAAAAAGAGAGAGAGTGGTTTATTAATGATCCCAGCCAGGGGACAGGAAAGGCGGGCCTGTTGTGGGACCTCTGCAGGGACTGGGAGCCCGATGGTTCCCCTGCAGGCTCTGTGGCTACTGCCATGACACACGCTCAGGTAAAAGCCTCTTTGGGGAGGGATGTCCAGGTGTCCTGCTGCACACACTGTCCTGCTGGTGCAGACATCTGTCAGCTAGGGGCCGTCAGTGCCTAGGACAGGGCCTCTCCTCTACTACACTGCCACCCCCACCTCCCTGCAGCTCGAATTTTCTGCAGGAAAAATGGGACCATCATGCATCCAAAGAGCACCTTGGCTGCTTCCTGACCGGGTCTCCCTTGGGCTGGACAGAGACCCTCTTTTCCCTCCTCTAGGAGCATGTTAGGCCAGGCCAGGGTGCAGCTCAGGGACAGGTGCTTGCCTGGCATGAGGGAGGCCCAGGTTTCATCCTGGTTCTGGCCAGTGCATTGTTCTGTAAAGGTCAGATATGAGCGTGCCTGAAGGAAAAATGATTATTAACTCCCAGGCGGGGCGAGCTCCTAACATTCCTGGAGTTAATCGTCTATTCAGGGCCACTACAACCCTGGTTATTGGTCTCAGAAACTCAGTGGCAGGGCCTTGAGCCTGCCATCAAGGAGCTGCCCAAGGGGACCAGCGCCCCAAGTCTTGCTTTGAGATCAGAAACCACCGTCATGAATGAGCGACTCTCCTAATGGTCCTTCTCGGCCAGTGCTGGCAGACTGTGTCCAGTCAGCCTTCGAAGTGGGACAGAGCACGACCCTGTCTGGACCATGTCGGCTGGGTCTGGGTGTCAACTGTCTGAATGCTGGTGAGTGGGACAGCAGCTTTTCAGGACATGCTGGTAAGTGCCAAAGGACACTTGCTCCGCCCACCCCCCAGGAAATGCGTTCTTAGTGAGGAATGCAGATCTCCGGGCTGAAGGGGCTCTGCTTAGCCACCGGCCACAAGCCCAGAACAATGCAGAGCTGGGCTCAGCCCAGATGTAGGCATGGTCATCTCTTCCTGCAGCCTCTGAGGCCAGGGGCTGGGGCCAGCAGGCTGGCTGCATTTATTGTTCATTGTCCCAGTTGGGACAGGAAACACTTTCTGTTCCCAATTGCTTGGTTGGATTAATTTACAGTGCAGAGCTGGGAGCCATGGCCACACCTGTTTTTCTCTTCCAGAGGACAGTTTCCCAGTGGGGGACACCACCACTATACCTCTGGCCACCTCCCCACAGGCACCAGGCTGGGCTCTGGGAGGCCTGGCCAGTTTGCTCAGCCCTTGGCACCTTTGCCAGCCCACCCACTGGACAGAGGTTAGTCCATGAGGTACTCACCACATGTCGGTGACCAGCAGTGACAATAAAACCTGGTAACGGCATTTTTTCTTATATAGAACTAGGGGTCGCCCCCTGTGCCAGGCTGAGGTACATGACACATTTTTCTCTTGTTTTCATATGTTGGGTGTTTTTCCCTTTTTAAATTTTTTTTTTTTTTTTTTGAGAAAGAGTCTCATGAAGCCACTATGTTGCCCAGTTTGGCTTTAAACTTGTGATCCTCTTGCCTCAGCCTCCCAGGGCACTGGGATAGAAGCATGTATTGACCCCCAACTCCCAGCTGTGAGTCCCATTCTACAGATGGAGAAACTGAGACTTGGAGAGAAGTGGGGGTGCGGTGTAAACTTGGGTCTGTCCAGGACCCTGAGTCTCAGCCTCCAGTGTCTCCAGAGATCAGGCAAGCATAGAACGTGTGAGACTTGGGTGTGAGATGAAGAAAGCATGGTGGGGGACACTGCCTGTTCAGAACTGCTACCCAGCCCTGGTCTGTGTGGCCCTGGGTAGCCAGATTCTCACATGCAATTGCCCTGAGTTTCCCTGTTAGCAACTCGAATACCTGGAACAGCCATGTGCAAATGTCCGGGGCTCACTCAGGGGCTGGACCCTGCACCACTATGCTGTTACCAGCAGCGAGGGCCTGCTGTATGTGTCTTCAGGTCCTCTGTATGCCCAATGGACAGAAGGAAATGCACGAAGGCAGGTGGCCCAGCCTCACCCAGCCCCTGCCAAGTCTGCTCATTTTGTCCCTGCCTCCCTGTGTCTTGCGCACCACTGATCTACAGGAAGAGAGAAAAATATGTGCAGAGGGGCAGAGGGCGCCATGCTACTTCAGGCCTCCCTCACATTCACAGATGGCACTGAGATGGCCACCCACCCTGTGCTACCCACTCGCCAGCACTGCTCTGTCTACTCCAAGTGCCGTGTGTGCCCGAGCTAGCTCTGCTGTTCCTGCCTACCTGCCCCCTGCCCCTGCTGCCCGCCGTGCACCGTGAGGAGGTTGTGGCCGCTCTGCTGAGCTTCCTCCTCCCCGGGCAGGGTGGGCATGTTATCGCGCAGCCCCGATCCAGGCTCTCCCACCACCATCCCCCTGAGTGACAGGGCTGCCCTTTGTGGTGGGGGAGATTAGAGGCGGGCTGGAGGCTGTGCAGCCCTCGCCTGGATGACAGGAGACGTCAGCCTGAGCGCTGCAGAGCCTGGAGAGAGGGGAGACTTGACAGCCCTGGAGGGGATCCAAGGGGAACCCGTGCCTGCACACAAAGGCCGGGCCTGTCTCACACCTGCGGGGCAGCACAGCCCAGGGCCTGAGCGGTGGGGCCGTGGGGGATGAATAATTCGCCCTGAAAGAAGCATGTCAGTAGGAGATAGCTCAGCCAGACACTTCAAATAAAGGCAAGCAGCCATAGTGACAGGGGACATTCTTTGCCACCGATGCGCTGCTGGGACCTAAGTGCTGAGATGTTGTGAAAGAAAAGCGCCTCGGACCCTTTATAGTTATTTTTATTAAAAAAAAAAATTTGAGACAGAGAGAGGGGGAGGGGAAAATACCACCACAGCCGCAGGGCTGGGCTGCAGCGCTCCAGGAGGCCAGATAGGTGCCCCTGCACCCTCGCCGGCCCTGATGGAACAAACTGTGCTGCTGGACACATGAATCTCCGGCTCCCACTCCATCTGCCTTGGCCCCTGCCCATGGGCACCCTCCCCACCTGCACGCTGCTCCACATCCTACCTGGGCCTCCGAGAGCAGCCACTCCATGGCCTCATGTATCCTCTCAGTTCTGCCCCATCCCATGCCCCAGCCTCCAACATGTTCCATCCATGGTGGCCACCTCCTGTCAGCTGACGAAGACAGTCATAGTGGCTTCTTCAATGAGGCCATAAGGTTACAAATATTAGTATATTAGTATGCTAGTTTTGAAAAATGGCCCTTTAGCGGGTGTGGTGGCGCATGCCAGTAATCTCTACGTCCAGGAGGCTGAGGCAGAAGGTTCTCTAGGAGTTCAGGGCAGGACACATCGCCCATGGGGAGCCATCACCAGGCTGCCCCTCTGGCCCACAGCTATTCTGCTTTCTCCATCTCTACTGTGGTTCTTTCTCTTCTCTTGAAACAAAGAACTATCCTCAAATGTAGTGTCCAACTAAGCCCTGTCCCTCCTCCAGGAAACTTCCTCTGGATACAACCTATGGGCAGATCCCCGCCAGCATTGCCCAGCGACATTTCTCAGTGTGTGTGCATGTGTGTGAGCATGCATGTGTGTGTATCCATGTGTATGAACATGACTCTACAGACATCTCACTTTCTGTGATTTTTGGTTTGCTTTGGTTTGTGTTGCCAGAGAGCTCAGGACCTTTCCTTTGCCAGGCAAGCACTCTACCCTTGGGCTGTACCCCTGCCCCCAACTTTTTAGATTAAAGAACCAATAAATCAATATTTTTCCTCCCAATGCCAGGTTGGGCCAAGTGTCAGCGTCTTTTAACACCAAACAAGAGAAGAAAGTGCACTGACGGTGGTGGAAGTAGCATTACCTCGTGCTGCACGAAGCTCAGGCCTAAGTGGGTCAGTTCTGTGCTGGTGGCCAGTGTAGGTGGCGGCTCCTACACACATCTGCATAAAACCCTGAGGTACCTGAATCCATGGATACTCCGAGGATCCTTCATGCTGCGGTCGGAGATTCCAGAGCTCCCCTCAGGATCTCCCTAGGTCCCCCGACTCTGATGCGCTCCATCATCTGTGACTCCGCCTGGGCTCTTGTCCTTGTCCTTGGCCGTCCCTCCTGGTCCTGTCATCCCCATCTCCACATTGATCTGCAGGTGGCCTTATCCTCCCGAAGCACCATGAGACACCTGCGACAGGTTCATCCAAGTTTTGGGGCAGTTGAGGCAACAGTGTTGCACTCTGAATGGGGCAGGGAGGTGAGGGACCCCTAAGGCCAGGACTGGTTGTTGTGCTCAGGAGCCCAGCGCCCTCCCTGCTCTGCCCACTATGTCACTCAAAGGAGGTTCCCAGGAGGGCCACTCTCCAGTAGGACCCTGCAGCCCTGAGCTCAGTAGGGCTGTCTCCTCCACTCTTTCCAAGCTGCACATTGTCTTTCTGCACATTTGGGGGACGAATGAGGCTTCTGAAACCAGAAACCAACCCAGTTTCTTATGGGGGTAAACAGAAGCCTGGGATGTGTGATCAGAGAGACCAAACCCTATCGAGGGGCAAATTGTTACAGTGTTAGGCTGACCAAGTCTGGTCACGTCCTCTGTGACATCACCCATGACACGGGCAGATGACAGGAAGTAGTGGGCTCAAAGGTCGAATTCAAGAGCCTCCTCACTTTAAGATCTGGAGCAACTTCCTCCCTCCAGTAGCAGTGCCTTGAAGGGTACCCTTGAAGGTTGGGAGCCAAAAGTCCTCAACACTCAGGAGGCTGAGGCAGGAGAATCCCCATGAGTTTGAGGCAGCCTGAGCTACATGGCTTGAACTATATATAGATATCCTGTCTCAAAAACACAAATGAACAAACAAAAAACCCAGGTCTGTGGGAATCACAGTCATTGTAGAACAAAGGAATGCTCCACCTTCTGCACCTGACCTGAGGCCTTCAAGTCCTGGGAAAGCAGTGTGTTCTGCTCCAGGGACTCTGGGGCCATCCTGGATGCCTCGGCAGCCCACCCCAACCCCACTGTACTCCACCAGCTGCTCCCGGACAGTGTGGGGTCACCCTCTGACAAGGCAATGGCTCATCACCAACACAGTCCTTGGCACAGCTTCTTCCCATCTCTCACGTCTTTCACAACCATCTGCAGGTTGCAGTGACCTCCATGTCCCTGCAGCTCTTCCATGAGGGGTGGGGGGACTCACTTGCCCCTGGGTCCCAGTGTCAAAGTCACTGTCCACCAGCGGACCCGGGTACCCTGTGCCCTGTTCAGGCTCTCTCTCCATCCTCCCGTCACCTTCCTGGTGCCCGACCCCTTCTCCCTGCTCACGCTGTTGTGGCCTTAGCAGGGACAACCCCGGGAAGGTCTCCACTCCTTGGCTTCTGCTGCTGTCCTCACACTGCCCATGCTGTGGTCCCCAGCTGGGACAGAGACCCTACATCACCAGCCTAGGGAAGAGAGCTTGGGAAGCAGGGGTAGGCGGTTCAGGCTGGCACAGGTTTCAGGCCGGGTAAGCAGTTGGCACAGACCTGCTGCCCCTTCCAAGTCCCCAGAGCCCGGGAAGGCCTTTCCTTGGTTTTGAGGGAATATCTGCTGAGTCAGTAATGCCCTCCCTGCCCAAAGGAGTCTGGGATGGCAGTCAGGCCCCACACTCTGCATCCCACCAGGTTTCTGTGAGCCTCTGAGCAGTATTAGGGACTAGCAGCCAGGACCTCTGACCTTCAAGAGAACCCCAAGCCTCAGACTTCTTCAGGCAGGGGCTTCCCATGTCCACTGTCCACTGCTGCCCTGATTCACTGTCCTCTTGGACCTGCAGTAGGCTTCAATGCTGTCTCTGCACTCACCATTGCTGCTTCTGCTTCTGTTTCTTCTTCTTCCTCCTCTTCCTCCTCTTCTTCTCCTCCCCCTTCTCCTCCTCCTCCTTTTTCTTCTTTTTTTGAGACAGGGTGACTCACAGCCATTCTCCTGCCTCAGCCTCCTGAGTGCTGGGATTGCCGGCATGCAGGACTCCACCCAGCTCTCATCCCTTTCTCTCTGTCTCTCTTCTTTCTTCTTTGTTTTTCTCACCCTCTTCTTGTCTCTCTTCTCTTTTTGGTGCTGGGTTGGAATCCAGGGCCTCAAGCATTGCATCCCCAACAGCCCAGTGCATCTGGGCTCCGTGTCACTCTGTGCAATGTCAACACTCATGATCCCAAAAGCAGTCACAGTGTTGCCCGTCCTGCCCCACGCTGTGACATGCTGGCAGGTCCTGTTCTCCTGGCAGGAGGGTCGTGTCACCACCTGCCCCGTTGGGGCCATGGCCTTCCCTCTGTGTCCCAAGGCCTGCTTTTCTGAGGGCAGAGTGGGCTACATGCACCTTTTAGGCAGACACTGAGGAGGAGGTGCAGTGACACCGAGGCAGGAGCACCAGCCCGGGGCCAGGAAGGCCCAGGAAGAGGCAATATGTTATGTTCAGGGACATTTCTTCTTTCTTGCTTGCTTTGGTGGAGTTGGGGATGGGATATCGGGCTCTGGACGTGCTAAGCACATGCTAAGTACACACTAAGCACATCGGAAACTCTGGAGCCCCACCCCCTGCTCTCCTGTGCACCGGTGCATCGACTGGTCCTGTCACCCCCAGCCAGCGCCTGGCACCTGTCTCTCCTCCACGGAGCCCTGTCGGCCTTGCTGAGGAGCAGTCCCACAGTTCAGATGGGAGGGTGCTCCCTGAACAGCCGAGATAAAACACATTAAATACAGTTTAGCATGCCAGACGCAGTTCCCGCTTCCAACCAAATTCAACACCCTGGGATTTTTTAGCTGAACTTGATCGGTTTCACAACTGTACCTCCTTTCTCTCCTACGGCAAATCTAGGTTCCCACGGGGAACGCAGGGAGAAGCACTGTGAAGGAGGAGCTGAGGAGGGCTTCTGGGTGGGGTCAGGTGCTGTGGGTGGAGCCAGGGATCCGTGGGTGGGGCCAGGGCTCCTGGGTGGGGCCAAGGCTCCGTGGGTGGGGCCAGGGCCCCGTGGGTGGGGCCAGGTACTGGAGAGGAGCCAAGGCTCACTGGGACTGCTGAGTCCGGATAGAGGGAAGTGTGGTCTCAGAGTCACAAAGGGGATGAAGAAGGGTGCATTCGTATCACCTTCACAAGGGAGCAGGCCCTGCCAACTTGCATTCACTGGGTCGTTATGAATACAAAGTTACAGAAATGCGTGGCCACGAGGTCACAGGGTGTCCCTGGTGCTTCTAACACTATAAAGCTGCTGTGTCACTATGCTCACAGAGGTAATGAGGAGGTGTAGGTGTGATTGAAAACTACAGTGTGTGCTTACATTTGTTTAAAAAATGTATTACAGTAAAGCACACATTACCATTAATCTTCTCCAGGTCCCCCTCACTTTGAACACACTGATTCATCATCCTTGCCCCACACCCCCATCTTTTTTTTTTTTTTTTTTTTTTTTTTGTCTTTGAGAGAGAGTCTCACTGTGCAGTTCAGTCTGGCCTTGAGTTCACTTTGTAGCCCAGACAGCCATCCTCCTGCCTCAGCCTCCTGCGTGCTGGGATTGCAGGTGTGTGCCACATCTCTGGATTTCCTTGCCCCTTTCTGCAGTAGCTCTGGAGTCTTTCTTTCCTGAGTGTCTTTAGCTGCATTGTCCTGGCTGGCTGATGACCTGAATTTCCCTTTCATGGTCATTTTGAGTTTGGAGAAGAGCTGGAGTCAAACAGTGCCAGATCCAATAAATAAGGTGGATGAAAACAGAAGACCGTGTTTTCACGAGCCTTTTGAGACAGGGTCTTGCTGTGTAGCGCAGGTTGGCCTCAAACTGACAGCAGTCCTCCTGCCTCAGCCTCCTAAGTGCTGGAATTAACAGGCATGCTCCAGCACAGCCAATTTGAGCCTGCCTTTCTGTTGGGTCTAGCAATAGCATTCACTATCATTTTGATCACACCTCATAAAGACCAGGAAAGACGACTTCAGAAATGCTGCAAAAAATGACAAGGAAGATGGGATCAGTGTGCTGGAAGTGGGGCTGAGGGTTCGTGGCCATGTATCTTTCATTGTAATATTTTTTATTTAAGAACTTGTTGGGGGATTTAGCTCAGTAGAACAGCACCTGCCTGGCAAGCACAAGACTCTAAATTCAATTCCCAGTACACACACACACACACACACACACACACACACACACACACAAAACAAAACCCAGCAACAACAACAAAAAATAAAAAAACAAAAAAGCATTGGCTGCTTCTCTGTCACCCAGTGTTTGTTCACACATCACGCCGATCTGCTGAGCTAGAGTTGCCATGAGGAACACATGCAGTAACCAGTGGAGCATGAATTTAAAGTTGAACAAGGGTATGTTTTCTTCCACCTCTGTCACAGCTGTGATTGTGACATCTTTTAGTTTTCCTTTAAAAATTTTTTTAAATAACATTCATTCATTGAGCCCAACACAGAAGCACCTGCCTGTAGTCCCGGTACTGTGGGGGCTTGAGGCAGGTGGATGACTTGAATGTCAGAGTTTGAGGCCACCCTGGGCAATGTAGTGAGACCTTGTCTACTATAAGAAAAGTTAGAGCTGGGTGTGGTGGCACATGACTGTAATCCCAGCACTTGGGAGGCTGAGGCAGGAGGATCTTTACAAGTTCAAGACCAGCCTGGGCTACAAAGTGAACTCAAGGCCAGCTTGAACTGCATAATAAGATCCTGTCTCAAAAGACTAAAAAGCAAGAAAGAAAGAAAAGAAAAGTTAGAGCAGTTTTTGGTTCAGGAAGCCAAACTGAGCATATTGAACAGAGATTTCCCACATAATTCTCACCCTCAGACATGCATAGCCTCCCCCCAACCAGTGTGCCCACATGAGAGAGGCCTGTCTGGCACAATCAGTGTGCCGCTCTTGGCGTCACAATCACACACACCTACAGCTCACAGAAAGGTCACTCGCAGTGTTGTCATTCTCTAGGTTTGGACAGATGCGCGGTGACATGCGTCCACCATGATGAAGCCACACTGGAGTGTCCCCACCGCTAAGCCGAGCCACAGCGGTCTCTCTGCCTCCCTAGGTGCCTCATCCCTGGGAGCACACAGGATGCAGTCCTGTTAGCGCAGCGGCGCTCACTCATGCTGTATGTACAGTTAAGGTTTTTTTCTTTCAGTACTGGAGGCTAAGCCCGGGGCTTTCACACTAAGCTACGTCCCCAGGCTTTCTGTAACTTTTATTTTGAGACAGTGTCACAATCCTAAATTGCCCAAGGTGTTCAAGAAGGCTGTGTCAAGCCCGAGACCCAGCTCCAGTACCCTGGGGAGGAGGCAGGCGTATGTGAGAGCTAAAGAGGGGAATGCAGGACAGACACTGTGGACAGAGCTGGGGGGCGTGGGCCCCCTGAAGCAAAGCCGAGTATGAGGAAGGGGAGTTTCTGGGTGCAGAATGCAGGTCACGGTGGCGACGGCCTGACCTGGGTAGGGAGGTCTGTCGGAAAGAGGAGGCCGTCCCCAAGGCAAGGGAGCCGCCGCAGAGAAGCCGGGTGGTCCGCGCCCCCGAGACCCCCAGCGCCAGCCCGGCGTCGGGGCGCAGAGGAGGCGCCTGGCCGGGGTCACTAGGGGGCGCTCTCGAGCTCTCAGCCGCGGCCGGTAGGGCGCGCTGCCTGCGCCCAGACCGAGAGCAGAGGCTGGCGCCTCGCAGGTCGCCGTAGGTTCAAAGCCCGCCGACAGGGGGGCCTCTGACCCGAGCCTCGGGAGGGAGACAGCAGCGAGGCTGCGGACCCAACGGCACGTGAGTGCCCAGCCCGCGCCGCCCCGCGGAGGAAACGCGCACACACAGGAGCCGCATCTCTGCCGCGCGACACCGGCTGCTACCCCCCGCCTCTGGGTGGGCACAGTGCTCCCAGGGGTGCCAGATGCTTTCTCTGCACCCATCTGGGTTTCTACCCTCAGAGATTCTCTCCTCTACCGTGCACAGGATGGAAGGAAAGAAGGGGACCAGCCCAGGAGCTCACCCAGGAAACCACTGACATTAACAGGTGGTGTCACGGGGCACTGAGACACTACTGTGACAGAGGGGGGCTCCTCGTTGACGGGGCTCCCAAAGATGTCCAGAGGAAAAAAATCAGGGTTCAAAATCCTGGATGTAAGAACAAGGGGCCAGGCACGGCGGTTCACACCTGTTGTCCCTGCACTCAGGAGGCTGAGACAGGAGTATCCCTGTACATTTGAAACCAGCCTGTCTCAAAAAACAAATCTAAAGGAGGGGAAGGGGTTGCGTGGGGCTCAGCAGCAAAGCACTTGTCTAACATATACAAGTCCTGGGTTCCATCCCCAGCACAAAATAATAATAATAATAGTAATATAGTAATAGAAGGGGAGAATGTAGAAGCATTCCAGAGGAGTTGAGTATACTTGTCATCACAGAGCATAACAAAAGAGGCTTTTGTTGAGCTCTCTTTTGGTCCTTTTGAATTTTAAATCACAAATGTATTATTTTTTAAAATGTAGTTTTGCTGCTGTTGGTTTTTTGAGGAGTTTGTTTTCACTTTGTATTATTTTGGTTTTTTTTTTGAGACAAGATCTCACTACATAGCCCAGGCTGGCCTTGAATCACAGGGATACTCCTGCCTCTGCCTCTGGAGTCCTGGGATAACACGCGTGTGCCACCACAACCAGCTATCTTTAAAAATTGTATTCAATTATTGAAAGGAGGGAAATGAAAAGGATGCCTATGCACAGACATAGAAAGGGGCCAGGACTCCTGTGGACAGCCGTGTGTCCACTGCACTCTTTCATCTGTTTAAAAAAAAAAAGGGAAAAGAACTTTCACAGGTGTCTTGTATGTACACAGATAGACTTGAGGGACACGTGGAAAGCAGAGCGACCGAGCATGCCGCCCTGGCGCCCACCTAGCCTGGCTCTGTCTGGGAGCTGCTGTGTTCACCGTAGTCTCTACATGGTTGTCAGGGTAACACCTCGCTCAGAGGTGCACTATGGGGGTACAGGTCAAATCAGGCCAATCAGAGTAAGGTCAGTGGGATGGGAGCCATCAGCTTCCGCTTGTGATACCATATCGTAGTTTCACTAGAGGTCACCTCTGGGTAAAGCCTACAGCTCACAACTGCTCATGCATTTGCAAATGTTTTCATCAAAATTTTAATGGTTAAAACTACAAGCACAAGCTGGGTGTGATGGTGCATGCCTGTCACCCCAGCACTGAGGAGGCTGAGGCTGAGGCAGGAGGGTTGCTACAAGTTCAAGGCGGACCTGAACTAGCCTCTCTCAAAACTAAGTAAATAAAATAAATGTACTTCTCCCCGAGCTCCAATCAGCTGATGCCAAGGACCACTCAGCTCGTTGTGTGGCTACACCTTGCCAGTTCATTATGGTCCCCACTGCTCCTGGTTGCTACCTGACACGGAAGCAGAGATTCCCCCTCCATTTTAAAAGCACTTGGGTTATCCCAGTGGCAGGAACATACTTCTTGGACACGTGTCTCTCAGAATTGGAACACAAGTTTAATCGAAAGGCCGTGAGGGTTTTTTTGTTTTGTTTTTTGTTTTTCTGGTACCAGGGATCAAATTCACAACCTCATGCTTGCCAGGCAGGCGCTTATGTCACTGAGCTAAATCCCTGGCAGGGCTGTGAGTCTTACTTCGTGGAAATGAAGAGCGTTCCATGTAGTTCACTGTGCTGACAGAGTCACCCTGGGAGGTGGTCAAGGTTGCACAATGCTCAGTTCATCTCTGCTCACGGTGGGTGGGAAGGGCATCTCCCATTGCCTGCACAGGTTTGGGGCCTCAGCCCCCACTCCAAGCCCTGTACACCAGGCCTCCTGCTTGAGCTCAGTGGCCGTCTGCCTGGGAGCTTATGGGGCCCTTCTGTGGCAGACATCAGTCCCTCCCCAGAAACGCCTGGAGGCTGAGTTGGGTGGTGTCAGCCCCTCAAACTTCCTGAAAGTGTTTCTGATAATGCAACGGAGATGACCAGATGACCAGGGGTGATAGTGTGATAGTGGCCAGGCTAACTGCACTTCCTCTAAGTCCTCAAAGTCACTGAAATGTGTCCTCCAGTCATGACACTGCTGTCCGATGCCACTCAGGGATTGGCAGTTTAAGTCTGGGCGAAAAACTCAGATTAAAGAAAATAGATTTGGCATCATCACTTGATAGCTGCCAACTATTTTTAAAAATGTTTAAAATATTTCAACTTTGCCCAGTTCATCCATGTGTGGGAATCCAGCCTTTGAAAACTACACAAAGGCTTGGAGTAGAAATTATCAAAATGTAATATGCACATGCATGGCCATGAATGAAAGCCCTTCTCTGTAAAATGGAATCCACTGATTTTAAAAAGTCAGAAATGGTGCCAGACCCCTGTCATCTCAGCCCTTGGGAGGCTGAGGCAGGAGGATCTCCTCAACTTTGAAGTCAGCCTAAGCTACATAGTGTGCCTCTGTTTTAAGAAAAAAAAAGATAAGTAAATGAAGAGCAGAGATTCAGAGCTGTGCAGTCCAGGGTCACCCCTTTCCTACCTGGCTCTGTGGTGGCCCCATATCTGCTCTCAGCTTAGTCCCTCTTTAAAATGGGCAAAACATGGACCAGGACTGTCCTCAGGTCGATGCAGAGATCAGCAGTACTTAGGACAGCACCTAGTGTAAAGCAGGGCCCTGGAAAGGTCCCCCAGGGTCACCCTCTGCCATCTGCTGCCTCCCTCTCACCTGCAGCCCTCTTTAGCAGGGTGCCCCCCATTGCCCTGTCCTGTCTCAGGGCCACCTATTTCCTCAGCCTGTCCCCAAGTTGATCATCATCCCCTGGACTGTTGACATTAGACTGCAATATAAAGTGAAATAGCAGAAAAAATTCATTTTCTGTATATGCTGATATACTTCAGAGTCATTTAAATCACCTACTAATAGGTTCACAGGCAAACATAGAGGAAACACTTAAAAATGGTAAAAGGAGGCCAGGGATGTAGCTCAGCAGCACAGCGTCTGCCTGGCAAGTGCACGACCCTGAGTTCAATTCCCAGCACAAAGCAAATTGATAAGGGGCCAGGCATGTGGTACAGGACTGCAATCCTGACACTGTAGGAGGCTGAGGCAAGGGGATCACAAGTTTTGGCAGAGCCTGGGTAACTCAGCAACTCAGTCAGACTCTGGCTCAAAGCAAAACATAAAAAGGTCTAGGAATGCAGCTGTTTGAAGTCCTGGGTTTCATCCCCAGTACTGAAAAAAAATCGTCCTCTTTGTGCTCTCTCTGCCCCTGTATGAGACCGCCAGGGAAAGAACAGCCCCAAAGGCTGGCCCGCATGGCCCCATGAGTGTCCCTCAGCCCAGCAAACGCCCCTCACAGGCCTCATTGCTCTGTCAACATTGTCCCAGCCAGCAGCCACTCCAGGAGCCACGGCAGCTTCCGAGTGTCCCAGGCTGCACCGGGCTGGGGACAGACCTCACAGGCACAGCACGCAGAAGCCTCCAGCCCCAGCAGCAAATCGTGAACTGTGAAATCCCGGGAAATGAAATGCAGCTCCTGGCCCTCTCTGTGCTGGGGTGGAAGGACATCCCTGTCACCAAATCTAAGGAGCCAAGATGTATACCACACACCCTGGATGCCTCCCCCAAAACGTGTGCCACACCCACGTAAGTCCTCAGTGCTGTGGCGCCCACAGGGGAGGGTGCAGAGGTGCTAACGTGTGGGTTACAGCGGACACAGGCGATCCCTCTGCTGCTCTTAGTACCTGCTGGTTTTTCTTCCTTACCTTTTGCAACAGGGTCTCCTTAGCCCAGGCTGGCCTCAAACCCAGTGATCCCCCTGCCTCAGTCTCTCAAGAGCTGGGATCACAAGTGTTTGCCCCCACACCCCATTTATTGTGTGTGTGTCTGCGTGTGTGTGTGTGTGTGTGTGTGTGTGATACTGAGGACTGACTCGGGGCCCGCACCCTGAGCTACGTTCCCAGCCCTTTTCATTTTTTGAGACCGAGTCTTGCAAACTCAGCAAATGACTCAGGCCAGATTTGAACTTGCAATCCTTCTGCCAGACTGCTAGACTTACAGTTGCTTGCCACCACGCCTGCTTTGTTGTTAACTTTCTGGTAACTTTGAACTTATTCCTAAAGAAAAAAATTTTTAAAAAATCAAACACTGAGGCAGGCAGAGGCAGCCGGTATGCACGATCCCCACAGTACAGACAGGGCAGAGCAGCTGTGGGCCAGGCAGTGACACACAGGCCCTGGGCTGCACTGACAAATGGCGCAGAAGGGGCTCATCATGAGGACAAGAAAAGGAAATGGGAACAGAGATGACTTAGCCTCCCTCAGGGGCCGGCTGGGCTCCGTAGCCCTTCATGGCCTGACAGGAAGGCCCAGAGTCCTGGGTTTCCATGTTGGTCTTTTTCTTTCTTTTCTTTTGAGGACAGAGTCTCACTATGTAGCCTTGAACTCACCAGGATCCTCCTGCCTCAGCCTCCTGGGTGCTGGGATTACAGCATAGGCCAGGCTGATTCAGAATTCACCCCTCCCTGAAAATTCCCTGGAGGCACCAGGGAGTCTCGAGGTGAGTTTCCCAACTGTGCTTCCTTCATGGCTGGGCCGTGTGGCCAGGCATCTGGGCACTGAGGGTCAGGGCCACTCTCCCGCACTTGGGCTGGTGTGTGCTTCCTTGCTGGCACTGGCTGCCACCACCTGGGCAGCAGCCCCTGGGCTCAGGCCGTGCTGTGGGCAGCCCTGCTGAGTACACTCAGAGTACAGACACTCCTGGGACAGCCCCACGCCTGCCTGAGCCCCTGGAACCTCCTACCTGTGTCAGAGATGTGTCACCCCAAACACACTCCAATCCCTGCCACTCCAGGCAGGCCCAGGGGCCCTGCTGATGGCACAGAGGCCCACGGGAAGGGCTGCAGCCACAGGGAACCCCAGGCAGCGGGAGGAGCGTAGGGAGCCCTCCCCCACTGGTTTCTATCCTGTCAGCATTGGTGGCCACCTCGCACCGTTCAGTCAGTGGTGTCACCATGGGGTGACCAGGGTTCCAGGCCCCCATCTCAGGGTGAGGCCAAGCATGTCCTGAAGACCTGCTGGCTGTGTCTGCTGGGCAACACGGAGACAGGCACAGACACACCACATGTTCCTCATCACTGAGACAGGGTCTCTCTGTCCCTGTCACCCACAGCAGGGGAAGAGGTACCAGAGTTGTCACCATTGCACTGATGACATGTGGAGGCCACTGAGCACATACTCTGCTTTGTTGTTATTGTTATTGTTTTTTGTTTCTCTTGAGACAAAGTCTTGCTACACATTTCAGGGTGGCCTTGAACTTGTGGCGATCCTCCTGCCTCAGTCTTCCAAATGCTGAGATCACAAGTGTGCAACACCATCCTGGTCTTGAGCATGTACTTATGGCTAGGCTATTGACAGATGATGTCCCCACAATTCTTTCTTTTTTTCTTTTTTTTGTACCGGGGATTAAACTCATGGTGTAGCACTTGCCAGGCAAGTGCTTGTGCCCCACAACAATTCTTGTAGTATAAGAATTTTCACAGGCTCCAAATTCTATTAAATGGAGGGTAGACGCCACAATCCCATTCTACAGATGCAGCAACTGAGGCTGGCCAAGTCCTCACCGAGATCCCAGATGGTACAGGGGCAATGGACCCACCCATGACACCCTTGCCTTTGAACTGCCAATCTGGGCCTGGCATCTCCGCCTTTCTTGGGAGCCAGCCTGTGCTGAGTCCCACCGCAGTTGGTGGCACAGAAGATATCAGAGGCCACGCCACCTGTGCACAGAGCCACAGTGACACTGGAGGGGGCACACCACCTCCAGGGTGGGCAGGGGCTGCCTGCCTCCGTCCGTTACTTGCTCCCCACTGGCCCCGCCCCCCGCAGCAGTGATAGATGGTTTACCCCCCCACCCCCCTGAGCTTGCGGTTGACCAGAATCCTGAAATAATTCCATCAAGACCGGAATTCATGCAATGCTCGCATCCTGATGTGGTGAGCGGCACCGTGGGGACGGGGACAGTGAGGCAGCCTCACCCCCACCTCGCCCACGGATCCGGAAGGCCCCTGGGACAGGAGTGGGGCCCTGATAAGCGCCACCTGACCGGGAGGCCCGGGTAGAGAGATTAATGCACAAATTGTCAACAACCTCCATGTCCCACGGTCAGGGGGATCACTCTGAGAAAGGAAGGACAGTGAGCCCTCAGCTGGAGACAATGAGCTGGCCCTGCCCTCAGCCCCGGGCTAGGGTCCCCACCGCCACCAGCCTGGCACGGGCAACTGGGAAGGAAGGAACAAGGAATGTGGTGGGGCCCAGCTGCCCCAAGCTGTCCCCAAGCTGTCCCTGGCCTGCATAGGCCCTGGCTATGATGCCCAAGTTTGGTGACACTTGCTGCCCAGCCAGCCCCAATCCATTGGCCCTGGGAGGAGGTGGCTCTCTGCAGGACCTGTGTCCCCTTCACAGAGGGACTTGGCAGCCTTGGGTGGCCATACCCGGGGTGCCCCATCCAGGGCTCCAGCAGGAGTTTCATGTCCTTGCAGGGAGCCTATAATCAGTATGCCCCTCACATGGCATATGACAGGCCAGCTCTGTATCCCATGTCACAAGGTACCAGCCTCCAGAGGAAACCTGTTCCCTGGCATTGGTGACCTTGGCCCATGTCCCTACACTAGTGAGTCTCAGCACTTGCCACTTGATATAAACCCATCCTTCTCATTAGGTCACCGAGGACAGTGGTCACAGGCTTGGGGGCTCCCGAGCCAGCCACGGGCAGAGGCAAGTTCAGGGACTGAGTGTGTGAGGTGGGAGCAAATGGAGACATGCAGACCTCATGGGGCTCAGGTGTGGGTTGCTCCAGCTGTGTGAGCTGGAAGTGGCCTGATCAGCTCTGCTATTGCAAGAGAGAAAACAGGAGAGTGTATGGAATGCATTCAGCTTTTAGTAGTGATAACAACATTCTGTGGAGAGAGCACCTATCCACAGGGGCTGTTCGTGTCAGGCCCCACAGCCAAGCTCCACCCGAGCAAATAAAACTGAACAGTGTGGCATTTCTCAAGCACCTTCTATGGGCCCTGGACCCAGTGCTGCCTCTGGTGTCCACCTCGCCCAGTCTGGCTCAGGGGTGGAGTGTGGACAGATGCATAATTAAAGGCCACTGGAGTTGGTGGACACACTGCACCTCTGAGCAGCATTTCTCAGGGAAAGGCGGGAATGACAGCATCAGACCTCAGTAATCGGGAGGATCGCTGTGAGCTCAGGCCGGCCCTTCTCAAAAAAACAGAAAAAGTATTTCTCAGGGAATTCATGGGAAATTGGTAACAAAGCCAACTGGGTGCAGGAACTGCCCACAAGCCAGCCCAGAGTCGGTCTCACAGGCCTGCAGGGCCAGGTCAGGAGGGGCCCAGCTTGCCCACTGCCACCTGGCTTCTCAGGAGAGCAGTGACCCCTGAGTTTCTGGCCAAGCTGAGCCACGTGGTAGTTTGCGGTCCCCTCTGTCCCAGGCCCCCCATGAACTGGCTTAGCCCCTACTGACTGGCCAAGGGGACCTGGGCCACCATGCAGGATGAGGCCCTGTGTCCCCACACTGTCCTCAGCTTGCAGTCCTCAGTCTGGGGAGCCCAGTCCAGGGGCTACAGATAAGAAAACTGAGGCAGGCTGGGTTCCTGGGGGCCAGAGTGTCAGGGCAGGGATTTGAACCCCAACCGTGTCCAGCCTCCCCATGCAGAGACGGTGCCACCTGCCACTTTGGCTGCCAACGTGCTGGGGGCGGGCACCCTCTGGTGGCCGGTGGGGACTGCACAGCTCTTCCCTGCCCTCTCCACTTGGGGCCCTCTTTGCAAAGGTGGCCAAGGCTCCAAGAACATGCAGAGCCTTAACCATGCCCAGGGAGCAGGACAGGGCCAGGCCTGTGCCTGTGGCCACTGCCCAGGCTTGACTGAGAGCCTGTGTGTGCACTGCACGCTCAGCCTCACCTGACCTCCGCAAAGCAGGTGGCTCCCTCCCGTGGGTGTCATGGCCTGAGACTGAAACTCGCCTGACCCCAGACAGCTTCCTTTAACAGCGCCCGTGGCCTCCTGAGTCCAGCAGAGTGTGGCACTGGCAGAGAGGCTCAGTTTACCCTATGAAATGGAAGCCGAAGACTTCTATTATGGGTTGTTTGAGTTACACTGTGACACTTGCTGCCGGGGACACCTTTCTACCTGTTTTAAGAACCAAAGTGGACAGCTGGGGTGGTACACACCTGTAATCCTAGCTAGCACTCAGGAGGCTGAGGCAGGAGGATTACTGCAAGTTCAAGGCCAACCTGGGCTACGTAGTGAGTCCAAGGCCACTCTGAACTACATAGTGAGGTTCTGTCTCCTAAAAAAATTTTTTTTAAGTCAAATAAATGTGGTTCCATTCTGGTAAGAAAGACTGGGAAGTCAGTAGGGAGACTGGCACCTGGACACAGCTGATCCTCGAGTTGCAGGGAGTGGCTGCTGCATCACTGGACTGTGCTCAGAACCTTCCCTGCTGAGACCCAGAGTACACCCCTCCTTCTGAGCCCCGATGATCCCAACACTTCCAGTCCAAAAGTGGGTGTGGCCAGCCAGGCATGGTGATGCACACCTGTCATCTCAGCACCAAGGAGGCTGAGGCATGAGAATCTCATGAGTTCAAGGCCAGCCTGGGCTACATAGCAAGACTCTGCCTCAAAACATACAAGAGTATACTCTTGGCCAAATGGACCCACCACACACACACACACAAACACACCACACGTCTCCCAAGGTGCACACACATCTGTGGATGGTAACCAGGAGGGCTGTCCCAGGGCCAGAAGCACTGATATGGGGTTGGGCACAGGGGAAGATGCAGCGGGAATGGGGGCAGTCCCCCCAACATGAAGTAAAGACCCAGGTAGAAAAATGAACACCGGGGCTAGGGATTTGGCTCAGCGGCATAAGTGCCTGCCTTGCAAGCAGGCAGTCGTGAGTTCAATTCCCCGTACCAATAAAAAGGAAAAAGACAAAAAAAAGAAAGAAAGAAAGAAAAAGAAAAATGAACACCAAAGTGCCCGGGGCAGGACCTGACTTACTCAGGCACCGGGTCTCCCATGCCCATTGGGTCACTTGTCCCATCTGTCACAGAGGCCTCTGTGGTTTAAGTCCCCCGGCCTTCCTGCATAAGATGCTTGGTCCCAATCACACCAGTATTGAGGGCTGGGGCCTTTAAGAGGCGGGGCCAAGTGGGTGGTGCTGGTGTCCGGGCTCCATCCCTGGGGTGGAGCTGCACTGCACATAAGAGGGGGCTGGTGTCACCCAGTGACCTTTGGAGACAAGACTGTTATGGCACAAGGCCACCCTTCTGCATGCAGCCAGTGCCTTTCCACATCTCTGCCACCTTCTAACACAACCCTAGCCATGCTGTTTGTACCCCTGGGCTACCAGAACCACAGGCTACAGAAACTTCTCTGCTTTATAAAGCACCCAGCCTCAAGCATTTTATCAACAGCAACTGGGAGGCAGCCAAGACCAAGGCCCTGCATGCACCAGCTGGGCTGCTGAGCATGGTCAGATGAGGCAGGCAGTGTCCCCACCACCACAGACAGTCACAGCGGTACTCTGACCCTCTGTGAACGCTTGCTGTTCCCAAGCCCCAACAGGCCCTGAGGTCCTCCAGCCACATGGATACTTACTGCTGTGCCATATGCACACGGTACCAGGGGTTGCCCTCACCACACTAGGACAGGTGTATTGTTACAATGGGGACACAAGAGAGAAGATGTGACTTACCTGGGTGTGCTGTCCTGTGTCTATAATCCCAGAACTCTGAGGAAGGAGGGCTCAAGTCCAAGCCCAACCTGGCAAGTTAGCAATTGAGTGAGACCCTGCCTCAAAATAAAAAAGGGCTCAGAATGTAGGTCAGCGTGACGGCCCTAGTTCCACTGCCAGTACTGCAAAAAATAAAAATGTTGGGTAACTCTCTTCAGCTTGCCCTGAGGGCAGGACCCGGTCCCATTCCATGTGAGTCTGAGCCCACCCAGTTCTGAGGCTGCCCCAGGTGTCTCCCACCACACACACACACACAGTCAGATGCACAGACACACACAGGCACACACACAGACAGGACACGCACCACCTCTTCCTCTCCCATACCCTGAGCACAGACCCCACGTCACCCTGGCTCCCAGCACCCACCAGTGCCTGGGTCACAGACAGAAGATGGACACCTATGGGAGGGGACTGGATACCCAGCAAGGCTGCCATGCAGAAGGGAGCTCGACCTACCCAGTGGCCCCAGGCTCACAAAGACTTAGTGCCATTTCTGCCACCCCCAGACTGGGACAGTGCCTGTTTGGAACCACAGGCCCGGAGGACCCAGTACCCTGTGAAGTCTGCACACGGGAGCCACCCAGCAGGAGTGTGCATGACCCATTTTCTGTGCCCCTAATGCAGGTACAGAGAAAGGACAGAGAGGGGCCACTGCCTCAGGAAGGACCCACATCTCCCCTGGCATCACCGTCTTCCTCCTCCAGATGGGCAACATGAGGTTCTGGAAAAAGAACTTTCAGGCCAGGTGTGGTATGTGCCTGTAATCTCAGCGCTCTAGGGAGCTAAGGCCAGAAGACATAAGTTCAAGCCCAGTCTGGACAACTGAGTGACTGAATGATATGCTGTGCCAAAATAAAAAAGCTAGCCTTTAATCTCAATCTTGGGAAGACAAGACAAGAGAAGTGCCTTGAGTCCCCAGCCAGGCGGGGTTACATAGTTCAAGGTAGCCTGCACCACAAATTGTGGCCTTGTCCCCAAAAAACCAGAAGAATAATTCTTTTTTTGTTTGTTTGTTTTTATCGGTACCAGGAATTGAACTCACAACTGCCTGCTTGCAAGGCAGGCGCTTATGCCGCTGAGCTAAATCCCCAGCCCCAAAACCAAAAGAATAAAAAACAAAAATAAAAAGAACAGCGTGATGGTGCATACTTGTAACTCTAGGACTAGGCAGGCTGAGGCAAGAGGATCACTTCAAGTTAAAAGCCAGCCTAGCTTACAAAGTGAGTTCAAGGCCAACCTGAACTGTACACTGAAACTCTGTCTCAGAAATACAAAAAACAAAGCAAAACAAAAATAAAAAGAACTGCAGACGCAGCTCAGCAAGAAAGCCCTAGGTTCAATCCCCAGTGCCAAAAAATGAGACAAACAAAGAGAGGAGAAACAAGCCACAAATCTCAAGGGAATCAGAAGCAGTCCAAGGCCTGGCATGGATGTGACCGCATCCTGACACGTAGGCTGGGGCAACCCAGGGGCACCAGGGCACTGAGGCAGCTGGGTCTGCAGGAGGCATGCAGTGGAGTCAACTTGGAGATGGAGGTCCTGAGCCCCAGCAGCTGGGCTGGCGTGGTCCAGGAGGGCCAGCAGTACGTAGGGGCCACAGGGTACCTCTGCAATGCCAGGGTATCTTTAGGCCAGATCCATACCCCATGCCACACCTCCTCTCTGGGATGATCTCCTTCCTTAGACCCCTTGGGCCTTGCTCAGTCTCTGGTACACGGTAAAGACATGTGAGAAATGACCTCTGGAAGTGCTGAGTTCACAAGGCAACCAATCCCTCCATTCCAGGACAGTGCTAGGCGCTGCCTGCTGGGGCTACCTGGGCTCCTGCAGGATACTAGGTACCTGTGAGTCCTTGATCCCGCCCACCTGTCTCTGCTGGGCTCCTGAGTGGCTACTTCCCTGCCCTGCAACTCCTTTCACTGTTATCTGCTGCCTTCCCCTGGGAAGTTTGATGAATTTCCCATGGATGTAGACTGCAGTTTGTGTCCCCCACCCCACCCTGATTCCTATGTAGAAACCCAGCTCCCAAGTTCAGGGTCCTGGGAGGTGATAACCTCATAAATGAAACAAGTGACCTTATGAAAGCACCTCAGAAGCCCCTCACCTCCCTGGCTTGTGAGGATGCCGCTAAAAGCCCCATCTGTGAACCAGGAAGCAAGACCTCACCAGACACTGAAACTGCCATGCCCTGGTCTGGGCTTCTCAGTTTCCAGAACCTGTGGCTAAACCACCAGCCTGTGTCTTTTGTTATAGCAGCAGAAGCAGACAGAGACACCCATCTTAAGATGACTCCTATGGATTCTGTCTTTTGAGCGCAAGTCAAAGGGGATCCTGGACTCTGGGTTTCCTTTGCAATCAGCCCCACTCACAAACCCATCAGGCCTGAGATTTGCCACAGTTTCACTTCCATCTGCCCTTCTGAGGCTCCTGCTGTAATGTCCCCTCTCAGTACCCTGTGGTTGGTTCTAAGCCTGGCACAGTGCACTGAGCACCAAAAGACTGGTAGGAGCTGAGATTCTGAAGGGCTGGGTTGGGGCACTGTGGAGGGTACAGTTATGGTGGTGCACAGGACACAATCAGCTCTGGGCTCAAGCCTGGCCCAGCCTCGAGGTCCTCTCTTCTTCTCTGTCACCTAGCAAACCTGTCTTTCCAGGTGACAGTGCAATTGCCAGATCTCAGGCCACACCAGGCCAGGCCCAAACCCAGCTTCAAGATGGCGCCCGGCCTGGTCCAAGTCAGCAGCCTCTGTGGAAGACATGGGCCCTGGGGTACACTCGGGGGCGCTTCCTGTCTGAGTCTGTGGCCCCCAACCGCTGGCAGCACGGGTTTCCGGCAGGGCTGCGGCCGGGGCCTGCACTATCAGCTCGGCACCAGACGCCCGGTCAGGATACTTGTGGTGAAACTGTGAGGGTGCACTGGTCCTTTGGGGTTTTCTCCCATGTCACCTCCAAGACAAATGGAGGCAGAGAGTGACACCCAGCCCTTCTTCAGCTCTGTTTTCCCCTCTTTGAGTCAGGAGCCAGGCAGCAGGCACCTGCCAGGGTTGGGGCCCTGACACCCAATGGATAGCTGTAGGAACATCTCAGGGCTGCAGCTGAGGAGGACAGGCCCGGGCCACAGAAGACCCTCATAGTAGCAGGGACTGCATGGACTGGGCCACCCTGGGGACCTAGACCACTCCCTAGAGGGAGGAGAAGGCCACTCCTCATTCAATGTGCAGGCCACAGAAGTGACATGCTGGGTCCAAAGCCAGAGGAGAGATGACAGGTGTCTGGGCATGTCACCCTGCACCCAGTAAGGCCAAGCCTAAGCCAAGGCTTTGCACCAAAGCCCCACTTCACCCTGAGATGTACAAGGGGGAAACTGAGGCGCTGTTTACTACTGGGGAAATCAAGGGCCAAGGAAGCACAAGGCTGCTCACAGCCCAATGCGCCATGCCTCTGAGAGCCAAGGACGCCAGGATCAGAGGAGGGTGGGGTGTTGGGTGGGTTGAAGATGCCTCCACACAGTCCCGCCCACGATGCTGTGGGGATCACCTGCTCTGGAGGCCTAGTTGTCCCCATGACCCAGGCAAGGCATCTGCAAACCCAGCTCTCGCCCACGTACCCTGTTCAACCTGCAGCTCCACTCCTGCTGACCCCAGACCCAGTTCTGGTCGGGGCAGGGGCGACTGATCCTAGTTTGCATCACTAGGTGGCGCCCCACCCAGAAAATTGCCTTCCTGGGAAAGCCGGGCCCAAAGGGACTTTACGGCGAGGCAGTCATACGCCTGCGCGAATTCTCAGGCCCCCAGGCGGCCTTCTGCGCCTGCGTAATCGCCATCCTGGGCCGGCGCCTCCTAGTGAAGCGCCGGTGGGTTCCGTAACAACACCAGCACGCACGCGCGGCTGGCTCCCTGGCCTCTGGGCAGGCGCCTGCTGGGCGGAGGATGCCCTCGCCTAACGTGCGGCCAGAGCAAAGTACTCGGCGGCAGTTTCCTGACTTTGCTCCAAGAAGTGAGCGAGGTTTCCTGTGGGTGAGGCAAGGAGCTGGCGAGGAGGCTGGGCGCATCTGAGTGTGGAGGGCGGCAGCTCCCGAAAGAGCGAGCCCTGGGCCCCCAACTCCACCCCTGGGAGGCAAAATTATCCGGGAATGCCAATTACCAGGCAGCTCCGCCAACCATGACCGCAGGGACTCAGGGCCCTGAGACTGGAGTCACGGGTGCCGTTGCCAGGTGGCAAGCATTTGCTGTGCCACTTGGCTTTCAGCACACCATAGCAACTCACAACTGTCCACAGGCAGATAATAGCGCTGCTGCGATTCACACTGCAGGAAACCGATGCTCAGAGTCCACCCTGGGTCATCCCCACCTTAGAATCCGGACCTTCCTGTCCCCTGACGCCCTGGGTTGTCCCCTTCCTAGATCAGCTCTAGGAGCCCTGCAACCAGATTCTGACACGACCCTGGATGCAGCCGAAGTGCGGTACAGCCCAGCTCCGACCCACAGGGAAGACAGCCTGGCCTCAGTGTGGGTGCCACTGCGACCCTGGGCATCGCTGTCTTCCACTTGCTTGGCCTGATCTCTCAGGCCTTGACACATGTTTTCACTTGGCTTCCAGACACCAGTGTCCCGGTCTTTCTCTTACCACTTTTCAACCTGTTAACAATGATGTCCTCTCAAATGGCCAATAACGGAGTGCTGATAGTCTTTGTTGTTGAGGGGTCTGTGTTACCCAAGTTGTTATTGAATTTGTATACTTCAAGAGATCCTCCTGCCTCCTGCCTGGGCCTATAGTTCCAGTTGGGACTATAGCAACATACCATCACAGGTGGCTGAATCTCTTACGCTACTCTCTTCCTGGATCTAGATAACCTCCACTCCACTATTTCCGTATCGAGACACTATCCCAAAGGGTCTGGGGATGCAGCTCAGTCAGTACAAAGGGTTCAATGCCCAGGCCTGCAAAACCTGCCTCAGTTAGGTTGGTGGTGGCATCAGCTCTCAACCCCCATACACACACTTAAGCTGTGCCAACTGCTCCTGCACTCAACAGCCCTGTGTGCCACATGTGAATGTGAACAAGTGTAAATGTAAGGATAGGCACAGTGGATGACACCTGCAGCCTGAGGAGCCACGGGGAGTCACAAGCATTGAATGTAGGTGAAGAGGGACAGGAGGGCAGAGGCTGTGGTGGGACCTGATAGAATCTGAACCTGGGTGACTGGGTGTAGATGGAGGAACACCTCAGGGAATTGAGTGCTGGGGACCCCATCTAATCCCCAGCCCTCCATACCACCTGCATGCCCAGTGCAGACCCTCAGCTCATCTCACACCAACCTTGAGCCAGAACACAAACCTAAGCCTGTCTCACTTGCTGAAGCTCCCCTTAATCGTAAGAATCCCCTGAAAGCTGCCTCTTGGGCTCACCCAATCATGCAGCCCTGTGTTGCATATTCTCTGGCCCATTCCTTGGACCCCCTCAGCATTCCTAGTCCTGGTCACCCCAGGGCCTTGGCAGCTGCTACACCCCCATTCAGGACTCTGTGGCTCAGCGAGAAGGTATTCCCCGAAGGGCCCCACTGGGCCTCCCTCCCACTGTATGAGTGTCTCCCATAGGTGTGGTGGAGCTAATTGGTCAGCACCTGAATTTGTGCTCAGTTCCCTGAATGTCCCCGGTGAGAGCCATCTCTGCTCTCATCCCTCACTGCCTCCTTCATGCTGAGCAGATGGGCATAGATCAGGCACAGGAAGAGGCCACTGTGACCTGTGACCACACAGGTTCAAGTGTGTTCTAGTGCTAAATGACTTCAGGGGACCAAGGGACATA